GACTGGAATGAACGCAAGGCTTATTCAGGTACTACCTACGGGGTCGCCTATCTCGCGCTGTTTCGCTGTGCCATGAAATCTACAAAGAGGGGTAGGGAGGGGGAACTACAAGATGCGCCATGGGTAGGAGGAAGCAGTGTATCAGGACGGGGGCGCTGGCATCGTGATTTGAGCTGCACCCCTGGCGTGATGGGAGGTTGCCTTCCACAATACAAGCTGGCCGGCCTTGAGAGAAAGAATCCTCAGAAACCTTCTCTACAAGCCAGCAAACAAAGGTGGTGGGACTTGGTTTGCATCTGGCAATCAGATTTGTCGATTGAAGCAGTGCAGTTGATCGCAGGTACCGACAGCTTGGGCAGAGTCGCCAGATTGAGCCGCCAGCGTGGATCTTGGTCGGTTGACTTACCTAAGCGTTGTGATTTCATACAGGAAAGCCGCTAGTAATCTATGGGTAACGGGTTTGTTTGCGTTTTCATTTCACAAGACCAGTACTGTATCAGGATTCATGACCAAAACGGACGATCTCGTGTCTCGAACCATCTCAACGAAGGCAAATTTTCATGTCCATGAAGAAAGGGGGCTCAGGACATTGTACCCGGCAGAAAGTTATTAAATTCATTCAAGTGAGAAAACTGGCAGTCAAGACAGGGAGTCCGGCATGCGCACCGCATCTGTTGCCCTCTGGCATCTCGGATTCCCACCAAGCTCTGCTTTTGGTCATGCACAAGCGTTGACCTGGAACTCGGCCTTCGGCTCTGAACCCAAAGGAAAGGTACCTGACCACCCAAGGGCCAATACGAAGCCTAGCTCGTGCATCAGGGGGTGGCTGGACCAAAGGTTCGCCAGTGAGTTCCGGCGGCTCTGATTGGCCTGGGCGGCGGATGATGTCATGAGCATTTCGGCTATGAAGAATTGGAGGTCCCTCTTGATAATAATAAAATGATAATATCAGCATAACTCCGCCGTATTTCCCAGTTCCAAGGTGATTTGCACCGTCAACTGCGGATGCTGTCTATAGTTGAGCGTTTCAGCTCCAGATAGTTCTTGGTTGAATACGAGAAAAAGGTCTGCGTGGACTCTGGGGGGAGATTAACTCCTGATGAGAATCCTGGGGTCTCAACTTAATTCAAGGTGCGACCAATCCAAGGGCGATAGCCGTTGGCCTTTTAGTCCAGAGGATGTCACAAATCAAGCTTTTTGGCATGTTACGAAGAGGGAAAAACCTCAATTGCACAAGATCCTTGAGACGCCATGTGGTTGGGTAAGAGGAGATAAGGTTCTGTCTGGGAAAGTCGGTGAGAATCAGCTCTCATTGATGGAATGTGAAAAAAAAAAATAGTCGCAAAGACTAGAATGGCCTGGTGCTGTGTGATAATGCGAGTAATCATATCGGCTATATCATAAAAGTAATGTGATATACGGAGTACAGTTATTACTCTTGTGGGCTGGGCCAGATTTTCAACAATGGCCAGGATTGCGCTTCCCTTCCTGAAGAAACAAGGTGGGACTCGCGGAAAAGTTTGCAAAGAAAGCACAGTGCTTGCTGTTTGCCCTGAATCTCACTGATCAAATCATGACTTCGGGAGAAAAAGCCGATGTTCCGTGCAGGGTCAACAGTGGGGTTGGTGCAACCCTCTGCCACCGGGTGTGCCCTCACCATTTGACAACTGAGAATCCGGAACCAAGAACAAGGAGAGAGGATAACAAAACCCGAGTCAGCTGGAAGGCAATCATCCAACAGCCTTTTGTCTCTCTGGCAAGCCCAAAACACTTTGTCAACTCGAGCATTTTTGTAAGTGGGCATCGATCGCCGTTTGCGTCACCTCGAGCCTTGTTTGTCGCGAAGCGCGAAGCCGAGCACCTCACTATTCGAATCAATACTCATGAGCCTGCAGGACACGTCTCTGATTATGGGAACCGAACACTTCCCCGGGCGAGCGCACGAACCCCAATTCAATCGGCGGAAGCGGCCCGTCGGCCTGCCTGGTTCGGAGACTTTTGGACAGAATTTGAGAGTGTACTCCGTACAGCCTGTTAGGGATAACTACATGTTAGCTCGAGACAAGGCTGTCGTTTCTTGCATAAACTCACCACCTGTCCATAAGTGTTCTTCCTGTGACCAGACACTTGTCGCCCAACAGCCGGTAGAACACCTGCCATGATACTCCATACCGGCAGACTGATGTTTGGAACAAACTTGTCATGGGTTCCAACCAAACCCAGGAAACTGGTAAAGATTTCAAACAGGCGCCCATAAGCGACTTGTATCAAAGGGAAACTGGGCTCATTGGAGAACCCTTCGCCGCTTCCAGCCCGCTGCTGCATCCGATGACGTACAAGGCTTTCCAACCGATAAGGCCATCTCCAGTTAGGGACCTTGATACAATTTGAGCTGACGAATAGTACGGAGTAGTGAAGAGCCGAATGCCAAAAATGGTTGCCTCTTTGCTCACGTCGTTTGAGGGCGCAGCGATTGTTCTTCCTGAAAATTGAAGCAGCGAAAATCGTCAACACATGGGTTGGCGTGATATTCTACAGATTGA